ATTCCTCTTCCTACGGTTTTTATTCCATTCCATATACCTCTTCCAACTCTTCTGAAGAAGTTTCCAATACTACTGAAGAAACCCATTTTACTATATGTAAAAATCTAATGTCCGCCTAGTCTTTTGCGTTTCCTGTTGAGTTCCATAGCATTCTTTAACTGGAGCTCATACATTCTGTTTCTCCTCTGGTAGAAAACATATTCTGGGTCAACTCCTGTGTTCGCGTCATCTGCATAAAGTTGTTTATATCCCACTTCAGGGTTTGATATAAAACTCTTTCCATCTCATATTTGCATACCATGGTGGCAAACCTAACGCAGCGTCATTTGACATGGCAGTTTGCATTTGTACATCTGTTGGCACTTGACCATAGTTTGCCATTGCAGTTTGTTTCTAACTTCATTTGGAATATTCTCTGGGTTTGGTTGTCCAGGTTGCTGTGCATTCGCTAAGTTCTGTGCGTCCATTTAATATTAGATAAAAATATCTCTTACGAGTACATATACTGAACATTTGCAGGCATTGGTTCATCTTCATATTCTCTGTACTTTTCTGCCACGTCAAATAAATAAATGACACAATGGAAAAAACCTAAAACAAGTAGTCCTATTTCAAACCACATTTACTTACTAATAAAATTTCTTTGTTATGACACTTTCTCCGGTTTATAGGACCTCTTCATATTCTATCTTGTCATATCTAAACTCATAGTCATGTATGTCCTCTAACCATTTCATGACACTTTCCAAACCACTTTTATCGGATGTAAAGTAAAAAGCATGGATGGTTATGTAAAACGTCTAAAGTTTCTAAAGAGTCTCTCAAAGTCCAGTCTACTTGGTATTGAAAATCCCATGTGTTATAGAACGGCGGGTCCACTATAAAGAAAACATTTTCCTTGTCTTTATATTTTCATACAACTCTGTCCAATAACATCTCACAAACTCTATACCTCAATATATTTTTCTATGTCCTCTTTGAAAACATTTGTATAGTTAAGATATAAAACTTTTGACATAAGTGTTTCAATGTCATGAACTCTTATAGAACCACTATATAATAGTCTAGCAGATATACTATCCCAGTCTATATATTCTGCTTTTTTCAAAACCTCTCTCACAATATTTTTCTTATCTAATGGTATACGTTCCATCTTACCTATAGGTATCTTTTCTTTTAACTCTTTCAATATATTGTTTGTGTCTGGTATATGTTTGAGACGGTCCATATAGTTGTCGAAGTCATTGCATATAATCTTTGAGCCTGGGAATATTGTATGGCACAAATGGGATATATAGAAACTTCCACCGAACAAATCTACAAATGTTAGACCATTCGGTAGTTTCTTAAGTTCTCTCAATATAATATCTTTACATTTACTCTTATTTCCAAAGAACGGTAACGGTGGTTTTGTAAAATTCATTTATATATAATAATAAAAATGTTTTTTCCTGAAAAGTGACAGAAAAGTGACAAAGCATGAAAACATATATAATTTGTGAAAAGTGAAACATTATATAATGTTTTCGACCCAGAAGAAGGCTTCTTCCCAGAAGCAATGGAGGAAGAAGAAGAGTCCTCCGAATTCACACCAGAAGACTAACAATTTTCCGAATAAAAACTTCATTTATACTAAACATCTTCGGGGCTAGAGGGCACGAAGTGCCTGGAAGCCCCACTGCCTTTTTTTTTTTTTAATTATCATTCTTTTTTAATAAATTAAGTTAATAATAAAAAATACATATTGTATTTCATTCAATATTTAGAGAGAGGGTCAAAGTTGCTATTTGTCACTTTTCCACAAGAATATAATGGGGAAAAAGTTATCATATAGTTGATCTCATTCACTGAGGTGAGAGATGCATGTAGTGTAATGTGATAAACAGTGGGATTGCTGCTCTAAGTCCTAGGTTCGAGACACATTGGCTTCATTTTTCTCTTTTTTATTGACGTAAACTATTCAATTTTTGTGTTATCCATTCAAATTTCAGAATTTTTTTTGCAGATTTCACGCTACATTCGAAGTTACCTTTTGTAACAACCACCACCGCCTACGAAAGACGAAAGTGTGTCACGATTTCACCCGGAAATCCGACGGTTGTTTAAGAGTAAGCACTTTTGGCACCTACTCTTCAATATTTATCCAATAAAAGGTAACTAAACTACTTTCGCCGATCCGATTTGCTCCATATTTAAAATATAGCTTGCATATGTAGAAGAAAAGCTAATTTTGAAGTACGCCCGAAATCCACCAACAGGATTTCGAGCTACTAAAAAAGTACTTTTAAATGTGATTTTTTTTATAAAAAATTAAATTTATTTTAAGATCAGACTAAAAACTAATTTTATGGAAAATCTATATCGACAAATTTATTACTTATTGGGTATATAGATTTTTTGATTATGGCGATTATGTCTGATATGCTTCCAATAAGCCAAAAAACATTTCATACTGATTTCTATAAAAGGTATCTTTATTATAGAAGTGTAAGCTATATCTGTTTGTTTTTTTATTATAACAAATTCAAAATTCTCTTATAAGGACTAGATGAAATCTGTATTATTAAATCATTAGCTAAATGAAGGTTCAAATAGAAAGTAAATATCAATTTATATGATACTGAAACCAAATAGTTCTTTTAATAAAAGATAACACGCTGAAAATTATTGAGTATTTGCAAATCTCAAAAATCTATTGGTGAATTTGGCTCAACTTTTAAAATTATAACATCCATATCAAATCATAAAAGCAGACAAAAATTAAAGCCAAACCTATCGGCCAATTTTTTTGATATTTTGATTTTTGAGGTATACTTTTAAAAGTGGATTTAAAGCACTGATGAAAAAACATTAACTTCTGTCGTTATGATTATTGATTTAGACAATAATGATTTTAATCTTTGATTATCAAAATACTAAAGTCATCTTTTTAACATTTGCTTGGTAGCATTAACTCAAGTCTAAAGTACTATTTTATGTGGCACTCTTAGAATTTTTGTATTCATTGTACACGCTGAAATAGTACCATTAAAGTTATGGCGGACTTTCAAAAAATAGTTTGGTCACCTTTTTGCAATCAGAATCTCTTGGATTTGTAAAATTTAAAATAATATAACAAATATATTGTGTATACATTATGTAATGTTATAGTAAAGTTAAAAGTTGTAAAAAATAAAATTGTTTAAATTATTAAATTATTCTTGAAAACCATGAATTTGAGGTAATGGAAACGGTTCCCTCTTTTCTTGAGGCATTCCAGCAATTACATACTTTGGAATTTCTGAAGAATTTTGTGATTCATTTGAAATTATTTCTTCATCTTGTCCATTTCCGTAATCTCCTTTTCCTTTTACAATCAATTTTCTTGCCTTTCGTCTTTCTGAGCGCGCAGATCGATATTCTTCTGTCTTTTCTCGTTCCGAGCGCAACTTTTTTTCTTTGTGCTCTTCAATAAGAGAATCCCGAAGGATAGGATGAATTGGCTTAATTCCTGATAAATTACGTAGTTAAAGTAATCCTTGATATCCTTCATTGTGGTAAATTGTAGCAATATCTGTTCTGCCTTCATATGAACTGAGATAATTTGTATGTTTTGGATTAAAACGGCATGATCGAGCATTATATGACTCATTTATATGAGTTGCATAATCCGGATTAACAATTTGAAAAACTGATCCGGAATCTTTTAAAAATTCGAGTAGATGATTTCTTGTATTTTCGTTTTCAAGTCCAGCTGTCCATATAAAATGTTCTTTTTCTTCATCTTTTGTGGAATGTAAACAATATTCTGGTGAATGATTTCCAATTAGATGATCTACGGCGTGGAGCCAATAAAATAGCTTCTGTTATTTTAAAATACTATTAAAAAGGTAATTACAAACTAAATCCTTAATATCAGTCCTTGATTCATATAATTTGCAATTAATTTTACAAAATTATCAAAGCAATACGCTAAATAATCAATGATTTTACTTCTCTAATAGATTTTTGCTATTATTTTTAAAATAATGTAGTGAAATACGATGATGTCAAAATTGGCAAATCTTCCCAAAATTGACAAGATCTTTGACGATGTAATTTCAGCTGCAATTTCTTGAGACACGCAAAATAACACTTCACATTAGAAATTACCCTTTTATTGGGCTTTTACTGAAGCAAAAACATGTTTAAAAGTGGAAAAGCAAAGAATTGAATCTGAAATGTTTCAGTTATTTTATTCGGTTATAAAAGTTTCAATAATTGTCGCTGTAATCTTGAAAGAGGTTAGTGTAGTCCGAATTCAGCAGCATATCTCCATATTTTATTTTGATAAGCTGAATCATCTGTATTCGCCAGCATTAGAATCACTGGCTATAGTAGGGTTATAATATTAAGTTAAACCATGATACTCACCAACCAACGGTTCAGATGGCAAATGACAAAACAATTGAGAAGTTTTACCAATAACAATTTTCATACAAATTTTAATATTTTATTTATTGATCCATAATGCATTTCCATGAATGCGGTTCAAATTCAGAGAAACCAAATAACACTATTGAAAATTTGTTTTGCACTCTTTGTTGATAAATGTTATAGAATATATTTTGATAAATTACAGGTTTGGATTTATCCCATTCAAATAAAAATTTTGAATTGATTACTTCAAAATCTTTTTTTTTCGTATGTTCCTTCAGCAGGAATCAATCATTAATTCTCCTGTGATGAAGGATTTCAAGGATCATATTAACTTGGTAGACCATATGTGCACGTTTTTTCCATATTTAACAGAGAATTCGATCGAAATTATAAATAGATCTGATTATTCAAGGAAAACAATCAGTCTTGATATATTTGACTCAGAAGTAGAAATTCTGCAGATGATAGATTTAAATATTTTGATGATTATTACAAAAAAAATGAAAAAATATATTTTTCAACTCGACCTTCTTAAAAACAAGTTGATATTTCAAGAGCAGCTCAGTTTTCTTCCATCATCTCTTATTACATATCAAACAAAAATGTTTTATATATTGGAAAATACCTTATTTTCATATCCAATTCAACCAAACTATCCAGCGGAACCAGCATTATTCCTTAAAGATATCAATGCTACAAATATTGCGATTTCTCCACATCAAAATGCATTTTTATTATATTCTCTCAATTCTCCAACGTTTTCTGTATATTATTTGCAAGCTGGTGTTGACCAACTTAAAGTTGTCAATGTCGGTTCTCCAATTATATCAATTGATTTTCTCATTACAACATATATCTCTGTAATTACGGCATCAGAAGATCAAACGATCAGGATATTCACAGAATCACAATATTCAACAGATTTTTCATGTACAGCAACGTTTTACATTGATTTTCCGATATTAAAAATTATAACTTGCATTTCTCGGAATGTTCGCAAAGAAAACGAAAAGGTTTCACCACTGTCTATTCCCAACTCATTCATTTTCCCTAGTTTTCCTAAAGAAGAGCATCTTGTTCAAATAACAGTTGATAATCCCGAGAAAAACACAATTTTCATGCAAATCAGAGCGAATTCATTAATCAGAATCATCGGATCTATCAATATACCAAAGAATTATACTCTTCCGTTCGAATGTGATTTACTTCACTCATGTGACCAACAGAAATACTCCTGTAGCATCTATACGACATCAATGAACAAATATGGACTATATTTTGGCGTTTTCAAGTTCGCAGATGCTATTTCTTTCTATCCATTGTATAATATAACTTTTATCTTCGGAGAAGTCAAGAAATTCATCAACCATTCACTGAAAATCGAGCAGACTGATGGAACAATACTCGATTTGAATACTTTGAACCATCACAAACTGGAAAAAATTGAAAATAAAATTATTAAAATTGGAAATCTTGATTTTAATTTCAATTTCGAGATAACAGTTAGTGATTATATACAATATGATAACCAAATAATGATTGTTGCATGCGGAAAACAGAAAAATTTAGTAATATTTACAAATTCTCAAAATGATTTGAAAATTCTTGAAATAAATGGCATAGAAGATGAGGTAACAGGCGTTTCAATACATTCGACTGATTTATTCTTAGTAACAACTGCAAATTCCTTAGAAATTTTTTATTATGAAATTGGAAACAAATTTATTAAGATTGCAAGCAAACAAGGCAAAAATATGAAAGCAGTATTTGTTCCTAATGATATTCCTACCCTTTTTATCTGTGAAAATCAAGTCGCAACCTTGAATATAATAAATAATTTTGAAATTAGTGATCCGATTGCGACATTTAAGATTCCTTCGTATAAACTGATTGATACATTAACAGATGGAACCATTGTTGCCGCTACAAACTCGTCAATTGACCATTTAACAGTTCCAAATGAATTTTTTCCAAAAATTTTTGACGGAAACAGTGATTTTGTGCGACAAACAGAGTTCTGTCTTGGTGTAATACCTGATAATCCAAACGAATCCATTGAAAAATGCATGAAAATCCTTCCACAAAATTGGGAAATTTTTGATCCATGTTCGAAACGGTTTTTGATACCATATTTCTTCAGAAATTTCATTGACATGCCGAGTATTGCCATGGAAATGTTCTCTATTTGGGCTTCTCTCTCTCCGAGACAAGAATTATTATTTAATTTCATGAATATTAAGTCTGTTGATGAATTAATAGAATCATACGTCCATTTCTGGGCCAGAGATGCAGAATCCCTCAAGAATTTCGTTGGTTCTTTCGTTGCAACTCATCAAATTATAAATGACAAGACAGTTGATATATTTGCGATGCTTAGCGTTGCTTGTGGTAAGAATGCAATTGCTTCAAAGACATTTTCCAAGTTCGGAAATGAAACTTTGGCAAATTTCTTATTACAAACGAAAGATAACAGTTCACAACGCAAAGCAAAGATCATGAAGAATGCTTATGCAGCATTGAAGGTCCATAGATACTTTTTGGCCGCAATGTTCTTCATTTTGAACCAAGATTTTCAAGATGCAATTCAATCTTTGAATTTATATCCGAATTATCAGATATTGATACAAAGATTGTTGGACCAGCCGATTGAGAAGTCCGGAATCCTCGGAAATTGGCTGAATAATGATAAAAATGAAGCAATGAAATTATTATTTGAAAAAAGATTGCCGAAATGCAATTCCATCTCATTGGAATACATCAGAGGGGAGATCTTATTCAAGATGAACTACCAGAGCAGAGTAACTCTCCTTAGATTGCAAGAAACTCCATATTTTATTGAAAAAATTCTCGAAATTTCGAAGAATTTTTCATCAGATGACTATTACAATGCAGATATAGCAGAGATAATAGAGAAACAACCATCTTCTGAAGCAAAAGAAGAAGAGGAAGATGATTCAAGTGAAGATTTCGATTTTGGATCGAAATTTGATGATGATTTTGAAGATTACGATGATTATGAGGACGAAGACACAAAAGAAGATGCTAAATATAATATAGGATACACAATAACAAAGAAATTTGTTGATTTACAGCCAAAAACTTTTATTTCCAATTTTTTGTCAAAACAGAAAAATTCAGAAAAACTGACAATTTTGCCAAGCGACCAAAGATTGGCATTTTTATTGTCATCGTTGTTTGCTCAGCCTAAAAGTGAAATAGCTGAACAATTAATTGACATGTCATATAAAATTGACAAAACCGTCCAAATTTCAATTATTTTTTGTGTCCTTTATGTCAACGGCAACTATTGTTTTCTGAACCTTTTGGACATGGAACTGGCTCGTAAATACATTGACAATGAAATGAAGAAAAGTGAAGTGATCAATCATATGGAAGTTCCATTTTTCTTCAAATGTTCTGCGAATGACAAGTTTAATATACAATTCTCTATTTTCACTGTTTTACAAGAGTTCATTTCCAAGATTATTTCTAGGGATTATCCATTAGTTATTGCTGTTATTGTGAGAAAATATGAAACAATGTTTTATCAATGCAACAGATTTTTTGTGTCAAATTTTTATTTGGCGCATACTTTGCAAAAAGTTCATCCTTCTCTACTCGAAAACATAGAGAACTCTGAACGAGCAAGGAAATCAATAGAATACGTGACAAGTATGAAATATGACACAATGTCACCTTTTATTTCAACAGCCATTGTCAAAATGAGAGAAATGGATTTTCCTACGGAAAAAAGTGTCACTTCACTTTGTTATTTTGGAGAAACCAATCCAACAATTGCGTATATAAGTGATGGTTCATTACAATTCATTTCCTTGGAAATACAAGAAATAGAATTGGTTGATTTTGTGTCACCTTTATTGAATTTACTTCCTGAAGTTGTAAAACAAGATTACGAAAAACAAAAGGTCAAAAGTGAGATGTTTAATATCAGATGGGGACCTGAAATAATCTCAAATAAATACACTTGTCTCGATGGCCGCAGAAACTCTGAGTTTTTCATTGTAGGAAGTGAAGATGGAATTTTATCTTTAGGTTTTGAAAGATTCATCACGAATTCACTCAAAATTTCATCATATCCCTTGAAAAAGATAAAATTCAACGCAAAAGGTGATCATATTGCTGTTGTTGATACTGTTGGTGACCTTTATTTGGCATGCGTTTATAAGATGAACGTGGAAAAAGTTGCATCTTCAATTGATAATTTCGATTGGTTGAATAATGATACACAGTTTGTTTGTATAAGTTCTTCAAGAGAAACTGTTATTTTTTATGATGTAATAAGTGGATATCATCCAATAAATGAGTTCCCTCTTCAACACCAACCATCGAAATACATGCCAATTGTTAAATTAAGGAGTGATATCTTCTATGGATGTGAGGATGGTTCTTTGAGTATGTTTGATATGACAACAGGAGGATATTCCCAGTTTATGAAGAATCATTTGAATGCTATTACTTGTTTGGAAAGTTCTCCATCGGAATCTTTCTTTGTATCATCTTGTGAATCAGGAACTGTTTATATCCAATACAAAAAAGCAAAAAATATCGCAGTAATTCCTTTGCACGCTTTTGGAGAAAAAGTTAATTGTTTGCATGTATCTAAAAGAGTTATCTGCATTGGATCTGCTCATGGTGTGAAATGCTGGGTCAGAGATGAAATATAGATTGTAATTATATAATTATATATGTTGTTTGAATATTAAATATTGGTTTGTATTCATAATTTTAGAGCAATCTTTTTTTAACTTACCACTTTCTAATACTCTTTTAATTAAAAAAAATATTCTTCGCAATTTTGCAGGAGCTCTGGTTCGGCTCAATTGCAAAGGATTTATTATATCTTTTGTAATTCTAATTCTTACTATTTGAATATGCAATTTTACTCTCTATAATACTTGAAGTTGATTTCACAATAAATTAAGCAAAATTTTTCTTTTTCTATTTAATGTTTTAATTGTGCATGCAATACAAAAAAAATCTAAATTTATGCTTTCTTTTTTGTCAAAAAAATTGAGAACGAGTCAGAAAGTGGCAAATGCACACTTAATAGCTTTATTGCTTTAATATATCACATTGAATAGATAGATTCATATTAAAATAAGATTTCTTTAATAGCTAGAAATCTATAGTGAAGCATCCTATAACTTATACAAATATGCAACATATTTACATAATATAGGGTGTCCAAAGGTGTGTTTAGCACAAACCTGAATACTGCGAATAGAAATAAACAAGTTACATATATATAAAGTTTATTTAAATATAATCACCATTGGATTCAATCACGCGTTCGCAGCGATCGATCCAGGCTTGAAAGACACGCTTTAAATCATCATGAGAAAATTGCTCAAATTGCTCTCTTACAAAATTTTCAAGATCATCTGGACTCGCGAATTCGCGTCCTTCAGCTCTCTTTTTTAGCGTGCCGAATAAATAAAAGTCAGAGGGTGCAATATCAGGTGAATAAATTGGGTTTGGAACAACTTTGACATTGTTTTCCAACAAGTAATTCATTACCTTATGACTTTTGTGAACTCTTGAATTATCAAAATGAATTGCAAACTTTTGTTTTTGTTGTTTGGATTTCTCAAACTCATCAGAATTGATAATTTGAATAAGAACATTGTCAATTAGATACTGAGCATTCATCGTATTAGGTTTTTGAAGAATATCAATTGCGATGATGCCATTCACGCCCCAAAAAACACGACAACATCATCATTGGTGTGTCAATTTTTTTCTTCGGGAATGTTTGCGGATTTTCATCCTTCGGGATCCACATAATTTTGGCTTCTGTTGCATATTGAAACCAAGACTCGTCCCCTGTTACTAAAAAGCGAAACTTCTTGGATTGATACGCACCCAATATAGAGAGGAGCTCTTTCGAAGATTGGACTCTAGTTTTTTTTGAACTGAATTAAGGTTGTGCGGAACCCAACGTGTATACGCTAGTTTGTAGTTCAAATAATTGTGCAGATAATAACTGACTGTTGTACGTGGTATCTTTGTCATCTCCTCTATCCTTCTGAGTGATGCTCTTGGGTCTTCATCTAGCGCTTGAAGAATTGCTTTGATTTTTCTTTGATCCGGCGATTTTTTGTCAATTTTTATGATGGGCGCCTTTTTGTTCATGAAGTGATACATCCTAACATGATACGTTACAGTGGAATAGCTAGGAGCATCCATACCGAAGCATTTTACCAATGTCTCGTAGATTTTTTTACAGTCTTTGCATTTTTTTGCAAGAGCGAGGATGTTTTCTTTATGATTCATTAAAAAAATGAAAAAAATCCCGCCAAAATTTCCCGCGAAACCGCCTCTTGTCTCAAAATTCATTTTATATCCCGGCATGGCGCCAAAATACAACATACTCATCATATACATATATTCATATTTTTTATTATATATTTATAATCAGCATATATCTCCTTTAATAGTCTCATATAGAGCGCTGTGCTAAACGCACCTTTGGACACCCTATATCATTAGTTTGATCGACATAAACTAAAAATGATTCAAGATTATTATATTCTACACAATAATCTAATTTGATCTCTATATTGTACTCATTCATCAAGAATGAAACAAAGTCAATGTTGTGTGAAATAATTGCATACTCCATGCATTTTTTATTTGGTGTTTGATACTTCAAACATTCATTCATGATCTCTGCATTTCCTCCTAAAAATGAAAATATTAGACATATTTCAGTTATTTCTGAGTTAAATTTCGTTCTTAATAACTTGAAACAATCGACTGCTCCGTGGTAACAACATAATTCAAGTAATGAATATCCTTCATTGTAAAATTTTGGATATAACCTACTACTGAGTTTTTGATCCTTATCAAATTCTTCTATTTCAGTGAACCAGATAAATCTTTCTTTGTCATCATACATAATTGCTCTATAAATTGTATTTTCCGAATGAATATCGAGATTTTCTTTGACCTTCAATCTGTCACGTTCATAAGTGTCTAATCTAAATCCATATTCTTTATCAAAAAGACTGATAAAAATAAGAGGAACATCTGTAACCACTTTTACATGATATTCATCAGATATGAGCTTGACAAGTTTTAAATATGACTTTGAATAACGATTATTATACTTAATGATATTTAAAATATCTTTCATAACAGTTTTGGGGCGACAAATCTTTGAATCAATCAAATTTGTTTTGATCGTTTTGTAAAGCTTGTTTAATTCTTCTTCATTATTCGTTTTTAGCTGATATAACGCATTATATGTTTCAATATGATATGAATAGATGCTTCTCAACTCGCTGTATCTTTTTGGATTAGTAATTTCATCAGATGTTAAGGATGCACTTGTTCCCATCCAAAATTAAAAAAAATTAAAAAGCGGTTTTATAATTTACCATCAAAAAATTCATTTTACTGGGAAAATAATTGTCATGCATTGAGGTATATCATGACAATACATTAAAATGGAAATATATTTGTTGTCCGAATAAATATAAAGTTGGTAAATTCATGATGATAATAACTTAAAAATTCTCGTATTATTTATTAAGTTTGAGTAAAGTCACACATATGCGAATAAATGAATTCATCCTATTTATCATGCATCAATTTGAAAGATTAGAATTAATCATATGAATGTTTATTCAGCAATAAAAGAATCTGAGATGTATCATTGGTTCATAAGAAGTTCGGCTGTTTCTTTCATGTTTTTTTCTGTTGCAATTTGAAGTGCGGTTTTTCCATCAATATCTTTTTCATTGATATTTATACCACGTGAAATAAGAAGTCCAGCTGTTTCTTTACGATTATATAATGCTGCAATATGAAGAGCGGTTTTTCCGTATTTGTCTCTTTCATTGATATTTATACCAAGTGAAATAAGAAGTTCGGCTGTTTCTTTACTATTATTTTCTGCCGCAATATGAAGAGCGGTTTCTCCATCATTATCTTTTTCATTGATGTTTATACCACGTGAAATAAGAAGTTCGGTTAATTCTTTGTTACGTTTATATGCTGAATAATGAAGAGCGGTTTTTCCGACAATATCTTTTTGATTGATGTTTATACCACGTGAAATAAGAAGTTCGGTTAATTCTTTGTTACGTTTATATGCTGAATAATGAAGAGCGGTTTTTCCGACAATATCTTTTTGATTGATGTTTATACCACGTGAAATAAGAAATTCTGCTGGTTCTTTACTATTACAATTTGCTGCAATATGAAGAGCGGTTTTTCCGTCATTATCTTTTTCATTGATATTTATACCACGTGAAATAAGAAGTTCGGCTGTTTCTTTACTATTATATAATGCTGCAATATGAAGAGCGGTTTTTCCGTCAATATCTTTTGCATTGATATTTATACCACGTGAAATAAGAAGTTCGGCTGTTTCTTTACTATTATATAATGCTGCAATATGAAGAGCGGTTTTTCCGTCAATATCTTTTGCATTGATATTTATACCACGTGAAATAAGAAGTTCGGCTGTTTCTTTACTATTATATAATGCTGCAATATGAAGAGCGGTTTTTCCGTCAATATCTTTTGCATTGATATTTATACCACGTGAAATAAGAAGTTCGGCTGTTTCTTTACTATTATATAATGCTGCAATATGAAGAGCGGTTTTTCCGTCAATATCTTTTGCATTGATATTTATACCACGTGAAATAAGAAGTTCGGCTGTTTCTTTGCTATTATATAATGCTGCAATATGAAGTGCAGTTTCTCCAAATATATCTTTATCATTGATATTTACTCCATTTGATAGGAAATATTCACAAAGAGATGGAATATTAAACTTCGTCGAAATATTAAAGCATTCATTAACATCATTAGTTTGATCAAAATAAACAAAAAATGATTCAAGATTATTGTAATCCATGCAATAATTTAAGTTGATCTCTATATTGTATTCATTCATCAAGAATGTAACAAAATCAATGTTTTGTGAAATAATTGCATATTCCATGCAATCATCATCTGGTTTTTGATATTTCAAACATTCACTCATGATCTCTTGATTTCCACCTAAAAATGAAAATTGAAGACACTTTTGAGTTATTTTTGAGTCAAATTTTGTTCTTAATAACGTGAAACAATCAACAGCTCCATGGTAACAACATAATTCAAGTAATGAATATCGATTATCAGAATGTAAATTGCGCCTACGTGATGAAAAACTTCTATAAATAAAGGGATATAATTTGCTGTTAAGTTCTTGATTTTCATCAAATTCATCTCTTTCCGTGAATGCAATGAACGCTTCTAAGTCATTATACATAATTGCTCTGTAAATTGTATTTTCTGTATGAATTTCGATGTTTTTAAAATTATCTTTTTGGAAGTCATCATTTTTGTCTAATTTAATTCCATATTCTTTGTAAAACAGGAAGTTTGAGATAGGTGTTACTCCGTCGACCTCTTCCACATGATAATCATCAGATATAAGTTTGGCAAGAGATAAATATGACTTTGTATAGCGATTTTTATATGGGATGATGTTTAAAATGTCTCGCATAATTTTGTTTGGTGAGTATTTCTTTGAGTCAATCAATTCTGCTTTGATCATTTTGTAAATTTCTTTTAATTCTTCTTCTTTTTCCGTTTTCAGCTGAAATAACGCATTAAATGAATCAATATAGTATTTATAGATGCTTCGAAGTTCGCTGTATTTATCTGGATGAATGTTATGATCGGACATTAATCATTTTTTAAAAGGACATATCTTCATTTTAACATATAAATATCTTTTAAAGAAAATTTATCCAAAGATATGATACTCTAAAGATAGAATCGGCGGAACTAAATCTCAGATGATTGATCCCATTAACATCTGTTCTATCGTCTGAAAGGAGATTTCCAACAAACAAAGCTCCTTCATCAAAGAAAATAAAAGATGTCAAACGAGAAATATCTTCTAAATCATTCAAAACTGTTTTTCTTTTTGCTCTTGTAAGGAGTGTAATCACATCTTGTCAATCATGGAATGAATTGGTCAAAAATGACTTTAAAAATAAGCAGTTTGAAGGATTTCATATCAGTACATTATCTTATTATATTGATAAGCAAAGTGATAAACTGCATTTTGTAGCAAGAAGAACACTGCTATCATTCAATTCCATATGGATTTCAATCAATTACAAATTATCAATTGAATTCATCATGTCTATACATCTGAGCTTTGTGTTTTTCAAGAACATTTTGACTGGAGCATTTTGGTCATACCAAGTCATCCAAAATCAATATCCAAAATAATTGCCATTTTGAAGTATGATTTAAGATGGCAATCAATGGTAATTTAATCTTTACATGATATCCAGATATTAAAAATATCATTAAAAACTGTATAATCCAGGATGGAAAAAAATTGTGGCCGAGTGCGGCGGTTTTGACACGAATGGCTTCTTCTAATGGAATCAACCCAGGAGCAAGTTAAAGGTCGAGTCAACAAAAATCTGACACATGACTTCACTGATATCATTTCTAGTTAAAAAACATAGAATACATCATTGATTTTCATATGAATATTTTTATCATTTGTTATACTTCTAAATATTCAAATCATAATGGATATAATTAAGATTTTATTGTTTCATTATATTTAAGATTTCGACAAAAAATCGATTCTGGCTTTTTTGTTGTAGAATAAAGCATCTGTCTATATTGTATTACAATAATATGGTAAGGTAGGGTTGTTAAAAATATCAAAAATTAGCGTTTTGAAGACACCATGGTGTCTTATAATTTTCTCTTCCTGATTGGCGTGTAGAAATAAATGCGCCAATAGATTGAAGAAGAAGAATTGTTTTTCTCTTAATGAATTTTAATCCTTTTGATATAAGAATATTAAAAACATTAATATAATTTCGATTTCGGAAATTAAATTTCCAAATTTTTTGTCGATTTCGGAAATAACAGGATCCCGCATCCAACACGCAACAACAAAACACAAAACACACTTTTTGGTTCTATCGTCGTTTTAATCGTAATTTATGTAATACATGATTTGGATAAATTTTACAAAAATAGAACCTATATTATATTCTTTTCAAAGATTCTTGCAAATCATCAAAAATAATTGTATTTTAAAAAACGATCAAATTATCCTTTCATTATTTTAAACTTAAATTAGTTTTTATGATTGACTAAAGCAATCATATTTATTCATCATTAAATAAAAAAAAAATAATATTTGAGAGTTATTTCAAAAAAAACACATTGAATTTATTAATTTGTCTCAATTTCAGTATTATAAATTTTTATAATTTCAATATTTTGAAATACACTTTTTAATATTTCAATATTTAGGATATTTCAATGTATTAAGTGGTCTCAAATTGAGCTTCTCAAATATAAGTTGGCATATTCAAATAATAAAATTAAATAATATTTAAAATAATAAATAAAAGTGATTGAGGTCATAGCAAAACGGCTGTTTCAGTCATTAATTCTTAAAAATAAAAAGGGTAAAAACTAAATACAATGGGTAAAATTCAATAGTGTCTGTGCTATCGTTCAATTTGAAGGTGTCTTTTGAAACCGCAAGACACATTGAATTTTTGAATAGTGTATTATGGTTTGACAGACACCAATGAAAAAAATAAAATGATATTTATTTTAAATATATAAGATCCTTATATAAAATATAAATATTTTATCGTTTTATTTTCTTGTTTTAGAAATGTTTTTTATTGAAAAATCAATAAAACTAACTCCAAAATAAAATTTTTGATTTAAAGACACTATGATGACACCTGGCAAATCTTCCAAGACACCTATCGTCGGGAATTATAGATCCGTATTTTTCCCAAGTGAGCGGGGTATCTCCAATCCCAGCCCTATCGTCCTCCCAGTGTCAGTTTTCAATATAAAATCCAAATTTTTTTTGAAAATAAAAATTTCGAGAAATTTTTCTGATTTTTTTTCTTTGATTTCAATAATTCAAAATAAATTTGGGAGTAAAAAGACACTATTTAATGAAATTCATATGAGTGAATGTGGATAAATACTCTCAAAACATACAATTTATCTATTTTTTCTTTATATTATCAACTAATTAGTGATAATTTTTTTTGAATCAGATTTTTTTTTCATTAAAAACATAATATATAACACAACAATGATGCACACATACGTATCTACACATCAAAATATAAAGCTTGTTTTGGTCTGGGCATCCCAACCCAAAATTCTTTAAAAATTGAATAAAATTGAATACTTGGGGCTGGGATACCCATCCCAAAACCGAATTGAATTTTTTGAATTAAAGAATATATTTATGTATTTATAATATACATGTGATGTCTATAAAAAATACTAAATTCTAAAAAAAATTCAATTTATTCAAAACGTATACTAAGTGATCACTTCATTAGTAGGATCAGCAATCCTACTAAATGGTGAGAACGCCACTAACTCAAAAGGGAGTCCTTGGAGCTCTTGATCTCTTGTCAGTAGAGTTCATAATGAGGCATGGCATCTACTGATTAGAGATCAGAGCAATCCTACCTTACCTTCAGGAGCTACAAAGCTCCTAATCGTTACGAGAGGGAGCCTTGGAGCTCCTGAAGCTCATCAGCAGAGGCTATTTACCATTTGGGCCTCTTCTGATGAAAGATGCGAAACACGTCTACGAACCAGGAGCTTCAAAACTTCTAATCCTTACTAAAGGGAGCTTTGGAGCTCCTGAGTCTCCATCAACAGAGTCCCAGATGGTAAATGTCCTTTGCTGATGAAAGATGCGAAACACATCTACGAACCAGGAGCTCCAAAGCTCCTAATCCTTACGAAAGGGAGCTTTGGAGCTCCTGAAACTCCTTTTACTATAAAATAGGACAGTTTTCTTCTGAGGTTCTCATCAAATCTAAGACTTCAGAAGAAAGCTGTCCTATCAATGTATACTTACACTCTCATGGACTACAAGTGTACAATTTTAAGGCAGAGATTATCCGAGGCCTCTCATCAAATGAGGGACCTCGGATAATCTCTACCTTAAGTAGTCAAATAACTTTTCTCACTATTTAGGAACAAAAGAACAAGAGTTGGAGTACTTTAAGGCAAGATTCTTCCGAAATCTCTCATCGAATGAGAGACTTCGGAAGGACCTTGCCAAATCCTTGAACGCCAATATCCTTGGAACTGAGCTAGAACCAGGGAGAAGTAGCATACTATAGAGCACGATGGTAATCTCGGAAATGCTTATATCGCCCCAAGCACAATATTTAAGAAGTCTAACTCATATATACAAGAAGTCAGGCTGAATAGATATTGTGCATATGGTTTGCAGAACTCTCATGATATTTCAAATTCATGTTATCCCAAAAAAGGTGACACTTTGGGTGTATCGTCCATCCCAGGGATGCAAAAATCACATCACCTTGGATCTATATCGGGAATCTAACTGTAATAAACAGAAATTCATCAAAAGTGACAGCTCTCAATTTTTTGACATTTGTAAATTCTAAATTGAATGAGAAAAATGAAATAATACTAAGCATAAGACAATATTCTAGATTTAATTATAATTAGGAAAAGGTTAGTTTTGAGAGTACTTTTCATAGGCATATAGAATGAAATCTTCTGAAAAATAATATCACATAAACTCATATTATTTTCTAATATATAACTATTTTATATAAAAATCAAATTCAATGATCTTAAAAGCGAAGGATAAACCTCAAAATTTACGAATATAATGAGTGGGAATATAATGCTTATCTATCATAAAACCATATGAAATATCAATTTTTGCTTTACGCCTAATTTTTGACGACAATTAGCAAAAAAGTTAAATGTTAACACTCAGTCCATTTGAATATGAAAAATAAAATTGACTTTGATTAAATGTTTTTATTTATCATGCAATTCTTCTTGCGACCAAAGGTTTGAATAAAAGTTCAAAAAATAAGATAGCTTAAAAAATAATATACGGTAGTGTTTACTAATAGATGAATAGTATATAAATTCTATTAAAATGGATTTGATCCAAAAAATATATAAAATTTGATCATAAATAAAATCGTTTTAAATTACTTCTTCATTTAAATTATAACAATTATTTTTGGTTTTATATTTTTTTGGATCAAATCCATTTTAATAGAATTTATATACTATTCATCTATTAGTAAACACTACCGTATATTATTTTTTAAGCTATCTTATTTTTTGAAATTTTATTCAAACCTTTGGTCGCAAGAAGAATTGCATGATAAATAAAAACATTTAATCAAAGTCAATTTTATTTTTCATATTCAAATGGACTGAGTGTTAACATTTAACATTTTTTGCTAATTGTCGTCAAAAATTAGGCGTAAAGCAAAAATTGATATTTCATATGGTTTTATGATAGATAAGCATTATATTCCCACTCATTATATTCGTAAATTTTGAGGTTTATCCTTCGCTTTTAAGATCATTGAATTTGATTTTTATATAAAATAGTTATATATTAGAAAATAATATGAGTTTATGTGATATTATTTTTCAGAAGATTTTGTGTTCTTCTTCAAAATTTTATTTTTTTATTAAAAAGAATCTTTACAAAATATACATTTACTTTAATTAATATTTAAAAACGTGCTCTATCAAAAGTTCCAAAAATTCAATATTTTAGCTTTTCTGAGGTGTCACTTTTGATGAATTTCTGTTTACAACATAACAACCCTATGGTAAGGAAAATTCCAACAATTTATATTTTCACTC